GACCATACCGATGTTTTAGTTAGTTTTAGCCTCTTAACTGTACAAACACATTTAGGTGGCCATTTTTGAATGTATCCAGTTTTAGATTTCTACACATTAAGAAACTCTTGAAACTTGTTTGAGTTGTATTCATTTTATCAAGTTACATTACTGTGGCGTGGTAAGGCAGTTCACATGCAGATTTACAGAACAAACATATATAACTATAACAGCAATGGCAAAAGACTGATGCCGCTTTCATGTCTGTATGATGCATATGAAGCTATCAGATATCAGTGAGCTTCACTGTTGCACTGGTTGACATGTTCCTTCATCACACAGTCCTATATACACAGTCCTGCTGCCCCAAATACTCAATAGAGCACCAAATGTGGATTAATGCGCTGCAAATAGTCCTCAACAATTGGACAATTTCCTCCTGTTTGTTATATAAACTTACTGAGCCTTTTGAAATTATACATTTGAGAGGTGATTAAATAAAAATAAAAAAAAAATCTGAAAGGTAAGTGTTGAGAAACTGACTTACTATTTTTTTCATGGGACTTGTTGACAATAATAAACAAAGAATATGGCCAGCCTTTTTAGCTCAAAATGAAAATCAGTAAAACTGGAGTGATGACTTTTGACATGATAACAGGTTGTAACTCTTGTAATGGACCTGTCATCTTTGAACACACATTTGAAGCTTCTCTCCTTTTATTCTCTTTTCTTTCTCTCACTCTAACACATTTCCTTCGCCTGTCATAAGCATGTTACGTTGACAGACTCATGTTTGCCTTCCCGAGCCGCTCCCATCCCCGTCTCCAGCCGTGAAACTCGGAAACAACTTCCAATTAACTGGATAGGATCAGCTCGCCGTCCTGCCCGGCCCTGATAACATTACCCCACGTCACACATCGCTGCCAGTGCCTGGATTATGAAATTAAAAAAAGAAGAAGAAGAAAGGGTGGTGGAGGATGGAAGAAAAATGATTGGGTGCTGAGGGTGGGAGATGAGGGAGGGGGGTGCCCTTGGGTGCTGTTGTCAGTGTCTGTATGGTATATTTGGCCCTGTGTGAAAGGAAGGGTTATGTAATGTTTTAAAGCCCCTCCACTATCGCCAGAATGGAAAAATTCAGTATGTTGGAGAGCTGCTACAGCTTCCAGTCCACCACTAACCGCCCACTGATAAGCTCTTACATAACGAGCCATCGTTCAGTCCTCTGGTTTGTGATGAGGATGCAAACGGAGGCAGGTAGATTGACGCTCCTCTGTTTCACACGATAACACCGTGATGGATGTCTTTCTCAGATGAAGGATTTTCTAAGTAATGTGTGTTCTGTCGTGTCGTGTTGGAGAGGCTGCAGTTTGCAGGTACAGGGTGATGGGGAAGACGGCAGCGGAGCAGAGAGATTACCAGTTTGAGTTGCACTAATTTAAATATGTTACACACATTTCTTAGGAATCTTTCAAAAAAAAAAATAAAATAAATAAAAGATGTTTAAATATCATCGGTGGAGCAGAAATATCACTGGTGGCTCACAGTGACCTATGAATCAAGAAAGTATCACTGACAGTTCATTGAATTTTATTGTGCCGAATATGCTCAGTATACCCAGTTAAATAAGTATATCCATAATCTATGCATACACTCCACAGTGAAACACAATAAACATACATATGAAGATTTTTAGTGGTAGTCACTAAAAATAAGGAATGAATCAATTATGAATAACCAGCCTTCCCCCCCAAGATTCAACAGTTTGCTCTAAACAGCATTTTGTTGTATATTTTGATACTATTGTCAACTAAAAAAAACAACATAACCTCACTCAGATTTTATGTTCATATCAAATATTTGTTAGTTTCCTCATAAAGACAACTGTTTACTGTAGTTTACAATAAGCAGGCTTTCTTTAATTGAATAAATACGGATTAATAAGAACTTTTGTAGGGGATCTGGTTACATAAATGCAGTAGGTGTACAGGGGTATGGTGTGTGTGTTTTGGGGTGTTGTAGTGTGTGCTTGCATTGGAAATGGAGAGAGAAAGGGAGAGAAACCAGCAATAAAAACAGGGAGGAAGAGGACAAACATGTGAAAAAGATCATTGGTGACAAGGAGATGATGGCAATAAGCAAAGCCATTGAAAGAGACAGACAAAAACAGAAACCGGTGATAAAGAGAGAGAGAGAGAGTCTAGTGAGGTAAAAAGACAGAAAGTGCAGTTAGAGGAAAGTGAAATGATGTTTGGAAAAAGGGCAGAAACAAGTGATATTGTCAGCATTTCCTATTATTACAACAAATTAAGAGTTTTTCAGGTTGTTTCAAACAAACTGGAAACAAAATAAGTCTTGTTGTTGTGCGCCATAGGAGAGCAACCAGAAAACAGATTACAGTTTAGAACAACAAGTCTAACATGCAAGCTGCATCACTGCTGGGGCACAGTGATCACAGATCGTTTATTTTCACTGATTATGACTTTAATGTCAAGGTTAGGAACTGAATACCCTCAATACACAAGTGTGCGTGTGTCCCTTTCTTCCAGATGCCTTTGACTGAGGGCAGCATCTTTCCTTAATTCCATTAGCGTGACCTTGAGTCTGTTTCAGTAACCGTAAGAGAAATGTTCTGCTGCCAGACCACAAACACTAAAGGCCACACACACACTCACACACACACACACACACACACACACACTGTTTAACCCAGCTATGCTGCTCGCCTCTCTTTACTGGATGATGTTTTGATGTAAGGTTAAACGCTCAAAAAGTTCATTTGCAAAATAAGATGCACCAACAAATACAGCAACAAAATACAATGCTAAATAAAAGCATGTCTCTAAATGCAAAAATTAGAACAAGACGACACAAACACAAACCCAACATGATGATAAGATGTGCTTGATTTTAGCCAGCAGGCTCCTCTTTTCTTTCAGTTTTCACTTTAGCTATTCTTCTTTTGTTATTCAACAGTTTCATATATGTTCCTTTGTTCAGCCACACTAATTGTTTAAAAACAGAACGTAGTATACAATGAGTAGAATAGCTGAACCGTGGCTGGTTGTGACCTCTGACCTTGCTGAGTGAACTCTCATGTGTAGGAGGGCTTGATGTTTTCAAAGAGTCAGAAAATGTACTTTTAACCTGTAAACCTGCAAAGTTTTAAACAGACATACCTTTCACTTGAAGAAATTTAAGAAACCAACTTTTGACCAAAATATAAGTTTACCTTACTACTAGCCACGATTGATTTTTGCTTTTTCTTTTATTTATTTTCCAAAAGCATGGATTTACCTTGCAACCCAACATTCTTTCATCTACTTTTGGCTATATACCTGACCTGAGTGCATCTATACATCCTCATTTAGTAATGACTTAATCTATAAAATTATTCAATTTGTGTCATCCTTTTTTTTTTTGATGTTTTTTGGACATCTTACTCTCCTCACACAAGGTTAAGTGTGCAGCATTTGTGCCTCTCGTATTGTGTATCAGAATATATTGGCATTTTTGTTAATTAAATCTTTGTGTGTGTGCATGTATGGAAATGAGGCTCTTCACCCCCTGAAGCGCTCGGTCACAGTTACAAATGGATTGTCATCCCGCTCGCCTCATCTCCCCTGTTGCCTCCCAGAATAAGCTGTGCAGCTCAATCTGCCGTCCCATCCCATCTCATCCCGGCTCTATTCAGCCCCGGCAAATATTGGTGGAGCGAAATGACACCAGGCACTCGGCAAGGGGAGCAGGAGGGATCTGTTTCGAAATGGAAATGGGGTTCTGGTTCACCGGGCGTAATAATGTGGAGGATTTCATCTTGGTTGACATTGGTGCAGATGATCAATTGATCAAATACATACAGGGGCAACAGTGTGTATACAGAAACACAATACAGGGACAACAGGGCATCATATTCGACATAAGCCAATGAGCAACCAGGCTCAACCATGGCTGAGTGAAGGCAGCTTCATTTCCCCTAATGGCCAAGTGTATTAAATGGCAGCCACCATACGGTATAGTTGTCTGATGCATACAGACATCTTCCAACCAACCAGTATTCATTAGAGCCAGCAGCAAGGACAAAAGTCCTCATCCAGTTTACCACCTCGCGACAAGAAAAATGTTTTCACTGGAACACACAACCGAGGTGAAGATACCACTAGAAAATGATCCCCTAACAGCAGTAGGGGCCTAATGTATAGCATGTTCTTGACAGGGGACAAATTGCATTTACATTTAACGTCATTCATAATACCACAAGTGTTACATTTTCCACTACGTCCTGGACCAGGAGGTGAAACTGATGATGCCTAAATCCACTTGCATTCAATGAGTCTGCACTGTAATCACATTTCAATGTCAGTGTTTTATATTCTGGGCAACAGAGCAACAGCAATTGTATTACCAACTAGGATGGAAATGCAGGAAGAAGCTTCTGAAACAGAGACAGTGGATTGTAATTGTTCATGAAAATTAATGACAAAACATGGACGTCCCTATCTTTTTCTATTTCCCTTTCTATTTCTGGGTTTTTATGTAAATAGCATGTGCGGATACAAGCTGATTTTCTCAACCTACATACGTGTTGGATCTGTGTCATGTATGAATTTTATAGATTTAAACAGCAAACAAGAGTTTAATTTAACGTGAAATATTAATGACCAGTCATCAGCAGAAAATGACTGATTTCATTGGTATTGAGTTGAAAACAGATAAGTGACTTGGAGCAAATGGCTTCAGTATTGATCTACGTGCTTCCCAGAATGGGATTCCTGCCACAGGGATAGAGAGGGATAAAATGATCTCTTTATCTGTTGTTTTAGCATCAACGTGATCCGCTGTCTCACACTCTCCAATACTTGGCCTAGTGGAGATCTATCCTTGTATTTAGTGGTTCTATTGATGTATTGGAGATGAAATTATAAGCTCAACACATAAAACGTATTAATTATTAACGTCTTAATATGTATTTAAAACTAAGGTTCCAGGGATTTTTGTTTTAATCATTTCTCATTTCGTCTCAGGTCCAGAAGAGAGTCATTGAAGACGCTCGGAGTCACGACAGAGGAAGGGGAAAGTGAGAAGTATCACGACAACCAGAGATCTCAGGCTTGGCGGCTACATGCTCAGTTCTCTTTGCTTTTGAGAAGAACAACTATACAAATCAGCAGCAACCATGGATTTTGTAATGAAACAAGCTTTAGGTGGTAAGTACTCAATTGTTGCCCCATGTTCATAACCTTAACCTTAACCTGTAAGTGCTTTTGGCGATTTTCCATATCGCCAACATGTGGGAACGATTTTCTGTTGAGATAAACTTGGCATTTAGCTTAGATTCTATAGCATTCTGTAGACTCCATTTAATGTCTTGTAGTTAATGTCTTTATACCTGCATTTGTTTTGTATTAACTTAATGTGAGAGGTGTAAATGGTCACATGACCAGACCCCAAAAACGTAACCTCCTTTGTGTCCATGTAGTTAGCAGGATTTGTCAGGAATTTTGTCGTTGATGAGATAGGGCTTGATAATCTTTGCTGATGAGCTACTGCACTTACTTAAAATATTAACATCAAATATTCTGACAAAAAAGCAATCAAAGATTAGGTGATCACGTAGGAGCCAATCACTCAAAGTAAAAAGCTGTTTGAGACGACTAATTTTAAGGACCTTTATAAAATCTTTTATGAGTTTCATGATTGTCACTTCAGACCAGACCGACATCGCATCAATACGTGCCAAGCGCCAAGACGGTGCCCCATTCCGGGATAAAGGATCTGGTATTCACTTAGCTAACAAGAAAAAAAGGATAATAACGAATGCTGTTGATTAGCAAGCTCTAAAACAAATAAACATACGAATCTAGATCTCAGGTTCCCTATCGTTTCAGTTTGAACCTCAGGTTTCATAGAACAGCCTGTACCCATCCACTGCTGACGAACATATGAGCCTCCAGAGAGCGGTACTCTCTTCATTTTGACAGCATTGTATACTTCTTTTTGATGACAATAAATATGAAATAGCTTCTAAACTTTTAAATTATGCAGACTAAGGGTTAGCGGTAGGGTTAGGGTTAGGCTAACCCTAACTGTATTAATAACCAAGGCTTTCACACTGAAATTTGCGGCATAAGATGAATGAATGAATATTCACTCTCAGCGTGATAAATCAGCCATCATTATTTAAAATGTTGGACCATATTAGTAAAGTATGTCTTAGTAATGTCTGTCTTAATTCTATTACAAGATATAATAATCGTCAGGGAAATGTGACACATTTTGCCAGTATAATTGTATTCTTTCACAAATGCATAGCCTTGCCCTGGTGTTCATTCCTACCCCAGGTGACTTGTACATCATCTCAGGTTGGACTCATTCATTAAGAGCAAAATAAAAAAGACTGTGTGAATGTTCTTATTAGTGACTGGCCCCCAGGGGCCATAGGTCAATGTCTCCTTAAATCAACCCTCTCATCTAGTTTCATCAGCTCATTGACCACCAGCCAAAATGAAATGAGATTTATTCCTTTATAGCTCAGCCTGCCCCCTCTCTCTCATCCCCCAGACGCTCTCTCATTCCCCGTCACTCTTTTATTTCTACTCCTCCCCTCTGTCATCCATCTCACACCCCTCCTTTCTCATTTCTTCCGTTCGGGTTTCATTTCATCAATTCTTCCATGCTTTATTCCCTTGCTCTCTTTACGAATCTAAATCTTTCTTCCTCCTTTACCTTATTTCTTCTTCTTTTCCTTAAAGAGAGTGTGCAAAAATTGCAGCTTGATAGCTTGCCTCTGGAACTGTGGCACCGAGTCGGGCTGGGCCCAAATTATATTCAGCCTAATTGGGTCTGGGCGTTGCTGTTCCCTCTTCTGTTTTGTATTGGGGCCAGCTGAAATTAAATTTCTGCATGCCGGGTTCAGGTAGGTGTTTTGTGGGTCTTCGATTCAGGTCCAAAGTTTTGCACCCATGAAAACCTCTACTACCTCCTTCTATTTTAGGGATTTGTGGTTGAGATAGTTATTGAGCTACTAAGGAGGGCTGCTCCTTTGTTCACATATCAGAATAAAGTGATTAACAGACACAAAAAGATGCAGTACAGTGCAAATGGGTGGAAATTGTCATGCAATAACACTCATATGCTCCTCCCAAGCTATTCAAATTAACTTAAAATGTATAGAGATGAGAGGAAAATTGAGAGTTAATGCAGTTACAAAATAGAAGTAACTGCACTGGTAAGTTTTAAAATCAACTGTCAGACAAACACGAACAGTTTTAGCATATTGTTAGCTTGTTTCAGCTAACATAGCAAAAACACTCCAACACAGAGTTCTTCGTGGCCTAAAACTAAGACCCGAACCCAGCAAGTACACGCATCTTTAAGACCCTGTACGAATAAAACTGGTACTACCAAATGTGAGACGGAAAACAGAATTTCATACTTTGCTGGTGGCTAGCTTGCCAGGCTAATCCAACGGTGACTGTACACATTTTTTTTATCTACTTGCAACACTTCACACACATGGACAGAGGTGATTGGCATAGTCATAGATAGAAAGAGAGAACTTTCTTATAAATTACATTTGGAAAAATTCACATTCAAACCTGACGTGAGGCCAGAATCCTGATACTTTGTCTGGACCTGTCAGGTCGGCATATGGTAAAAAAAAAAAGCTATATGCCAGCCCTCAAACAAAATTTGTATCACATTTGATCTCATGGCTCACTCCATCACTTCATCCATCTCTGCCCTTATCTATCCATCCATTCCTCTTTCCCTTTCATTGGTATGGGCAATGTCCCTGCTCTCCATTGCTTGATCTCTTTCTTTTTTAATCCACTCATCCATCTTTCCCACGGGCTTTTGGCAATTTACTCTCCTCCATCTTTCTCCATTCGCTTCCTCCTCCTTATAGCCATCCCTTTGTCCTTCCTGCAGAGAGGGGCACAGATAGGGTTGTTAGTTCTCTTATCTCTAAGTATCCCTCTATTCTTGCACCCCTTCACCCCTTAGCTTCCAATCATTTTCAGCACAGCAACCTACCTTTTCTTCTTCTTTCTTTCTCTCCCGCCACCCCCATTCTTTGCGTGTTGTAGGCTACAGTATAGCAGTTTGCCCCTACCTCCATCCCTCCATTCCCCCCTCGGTCCATCCGTCACAGATTGAAGTGTTGTAATTTACCTCCCATAGCGGTGCTGTCTTGTGCCGTGACCTTTTTCTCTTGGAACAGACGAGCATTCATTTCATTGGGACGCAGCTGGCCATTCACAAGTATATACAAGCAGCCACGCACACACAAAAACACACAAATCCAAAAATGAACACAAACACAGAGAACAAATTACACACACAAACACAGATGAGGTTCCAGTAGTGGTCCCGGAGGGGACGATACCATTTCGAGATTAAGTGAACCCCATCCAATGGGAGCACTGTATATACATGGGCATGTCAGGGAATCAATCAAACAACAACCCTTCAGTGTTTCTCATGCATAGAAATGGCCCAACTAAATTGAATTTGTACCAGTCAAAAATGATTTTGTATTTAATGTATATTACTCTTTTATGTTACAGGTTGGTCTATATCAGCTCCCCCAAACCCCCTCTCTCTCTAGGTATATATATATATGTATGTATATATATATAGCCTACACGTCGCAAATAATAGCCTATCAACACTATATTACTGAAGGTGCAATAAACAAAATCTGATGATCTGTTTCTATGATGACAAGCAGCCCAGTGTCCTTGTTACACCAGTGTGGACATGCCCAAAGTCACATAAGGGGTTTCACTCAATGACACTCTTGAAAGTGATGCCTTTTAAATCCGTCGCTCTCCCCTTACACACTCACTGCGCTTAAACACAGCATGCATCTGTCTTCTGTGTCTTTTCACTGCAACCCTGCACAGATACAGGGATTGGACAATGAAACTGAAACACCTGGTTTTAGACCACAATAATTTATTAGTATGGTGTAGGGCCTCCTTTTGTGGCCAATACAGCCTCAATTCGTCTTGGGAATGACATATACAAGTCCTGCACAGTGGTCAGAGGGATTTTAAGCCATTCTTCTTGCAGGATAGTGGCCAGGTCACGACATGATGCTGGTGGAGGAAAATGTTTCCTGACTCGCTCCTCCAAAACACCCCAAAGTGGCTCAATAATATTTAGATCTGGTGACTGTGCAGGCCATGGGAGATGTTCAACTTCACTTTCATGTTCATCAAACCAATCTTTCACCAGTCTTGCTGTGTGTATTGGTGCATTGTCATCCTGATACACGGCACCTCCTTCAGGATACAATGTTTGAACCATTGGATGCACATGGTCCTCCAGAATGGTTCGGTAGTCCTTGGCAGTGACGCGCCCATCTAGCACAAGTATGGGGCCAAGGGAATGCCATGATATGGCAGCCCAAACCATCACTGATCCACCCCCATGCTTCACTCTGGGCATGCAACAGTCTGGGTGGTACGCTTCTTTGGGGCTTCTCCACACCGTAACTCTCCCGGATGTGGGGAAAACAGTAAAGGCGGACTCATCAGAGAACAATACATGTTTCACATTGTCCACATCCCAAGATTTGCGCTCCTTGCACCATTGAAACCGACGTTTGGCATTGGCACGAGTGACCAAAGGTTTGGCTATAGCAGCCCGGCCGTGTATATTGACCCTGTGGAGCTCCCGACGGACAGTTTTGGTGGAAACAGGAGAGTTGAGGTGCACATTTAATTCTGCCGTGATTTGGGCAGCCGTGGTTTTATGTTTTTTGGATACAATCCGGGTTAGCACCCGAACATCCCTTTCAGACAGCTTCCTCTTGCGTCCATAGTTAATCCTGTTGGATGTGGTTCGTCCTTCTTGGTGGTATGCTGACATTACCCTGGATACCGTGGCTCTTGATACATCACAAAGACTTGCTGTCTTGGTCACAGATACGCCAGCAAGACGTGCACCAACAATTTGTCCTCTTTTGAACTCTGGTATGTCACCCATAATGTTGTGTGCATTGCAATATTTTGAGCAAAACTGTGCTCTTACCCTGCTAATTGGACCTCACAGTCTGCTCTTATTGGTTCAATGTGCAATTAATGAAGATTGGCCACCAGGCTGGTCCAATTTAGCTATGAAACCTCCCACACTAAAATGAGAGGCGTCTCAGTTTCATTGTCCAACCCCTGTAACATGAACAAAAAGAGGATCCATA